TGTTAATATTCGATTAAAAATCTAACAAAAAATACTCGTTTTAAATATAATAATTTCATAATTGTTTCAATTGACGAACGTAGATAATAATTAATAACAAATTATGAACTTAAATGTATATATTTAAATGTGAATAGAAATATTTGGAAATGATAATAGAAGTAAAAAATAGAAAACGCGATGATATTCGAATAGGAACTTATTATCAAGCGATATTTCACTATGACAGTGTTACCTAATGGGAAAATACTCTGTAACGTTTACTTTCTTACATAAGTCCAAAGAAAGAGAGAAAGAGAAAGAGAGAATATTATGTTATTCCTTTGAACACACAAGAATAAAGTCGCGCACGTGCAACACACACACACACACACACACAACATTCTCAGAATATAAATGAGAATTGTGTGCTTTCTCTTTGTACTCTCGTATTTCTTTCGATTACAAATGATCATTTCGAGATGAGTAAAAAAAAAAAAAAAGAAATTAAAAAGAAAAAAAAATGTTAACTAACATATCGTGGGAAGAATTTTTGTTTTTATTTATTTTTTTTTTAATTTACTTTGGTACTACGTAAAACGTGTTAAAAACGATTAACATAATAATAGTTTGATCAAATTTCTTTGTTCTTTTTTATTTTATTTTCTAAGACACCCCGTACATGAACACACAGCAAACATACGTTAGAATGTTAGTAATGAGAATACCGGTGGTAGTGAGAGTGCAAGGAGGGGGTAGATTCGAAGAAAGAAGTAGGGGATGGAATCGACTAATTTGAAATTCAGCTTCGTTCTTCCTGTTGCACGAACGAGCTTTTGCTGAAACCGAATACACTATATATATATATATATATATATATATATATATATATATATACAGAAAGGAGTAAGAAAAATAAAAGAAAGAAAGAGAGAAAGGATAAGAATTGGAAAAGATGCGAAAGAGAGAGAGAGAGAGATACAATATATACGGTGTTACTATTTATCCTATTAAATATTCAGAAAAAAAGTATCTTCATATATCTATCAAAATTTCAAAGTTCTTTCTTAAGGATTTACTAAATTGTTTATATCTTAATCTTATCTTATATCTTAAATATTTTTATCTTATATTGTAAATAAAATAATATATTCTTATTATCGTAGTATTGTAAAAAGTATAATATATATTAGGTTAAATAATATTTTTAAAAAATTGGTTTGTTGGGTTATATATATATATAATAATTATAATATTAATATAATATATAAATTATTTATTAAATAAAAGTATTGGTCAAATAAATGTAATTTTTTTAATAAATTTATTTATTAATTTATTAAATAAAAAGTATGGTATATATATATGTATATATATAAAATAGAAAGACACCGTGTATATTTGGCATTACTTTTACAAGTTGGTAAGGCAATAGGAATAAAGATGATGCGATTTACTTATTTCCTTTGGAAACAAAGTTACGACTCGTGTTTCGTGTTGAGAGGAAAGTGTTTCCCTTCTATTTCAAAGTGGGAAATATCTTATTCTTATATTTCTTTTTGTTTTTTTTTTTTTTTTTAATGTTATTTCTTCAGTTGTATTTGAATAAAACAAAAAAAACAAGGTAGAAGAAGAATCGATCAGACGGGATTAAGTTTTCGATGTTATATTCAACGATAGATAATTTGATAATAATTTTCAATAATAATAGTAATAAATAAAAAAATACTTTTTATTAATATTATTATTATTATTATTAAACTGTAAAACAATTTTAGGCTTTAGTAATATCATGAAAAAGGACAAAATTGATTATACAAATTTTGTTATATTAAATAAAACGAATAAGAGACAAATATTGTGATACAAAAGTTTCAAAAGTTTCAAAATCAAATTTAATAATCGTTCGTTTCGTTGACTTGTAACTTTGTTTAAAAAAAAAAAAAAAAAAAAAAAGAAACAACAAGTACTTAACAAAAACAACAAGAAAATAAATAACCAAAAAGAATAAAAGTAATTTAACGTTGAAAAGATAAGAAGAAGAAGAAGAAACTGTGTTTTTGTGTAAAAATCGTTTAACAAAAGTTTTGATTGTGAATATTATGAAAAATCTTTTTTTTTTTTCTCTGATTTTTTTTTTTTCTTTCTTGATCATCAATCGAACGTAAAAAACATTAGTGTGATTTATACTTTCTCTTTCTAAATATAATAGACCTATTAGAAGATTCTCCTCTTTATAGGAAAACGAGGTTTCGCGAAGCTTTTCCAAAAGTTTCAACTCGTTATTAAAGGAAATCTCTGATCGTTTCTACCTATTCACTTACGTTCCAAAGTCCCATTCAAGAGTTTGACGTAGTACGAGTATACAATCGGAAGTCAATAAAACGCATTATGAAAGTGAGATAGAAAGAGAGAGAGAGAGAAAATAAGAAGATGGAATAATTAATGAAAGAACGGAAAATGTCAATGAGTAGGTGGAAATAGACAAAAAAAAACACACACACACACACAGACACACATACAGACAAACATTTACGATTTCATTGAATTCACTACGATTTTTATCCATTATTGTTATTATTCTTCTTCATTTAATTGTTATTCTTGTTTTCGTTGACATTATATTTTTAACCACAGAGTATTATTATTATTATTAATATTATTTTTGTTTGTTTTAATATGCAATATAATAATAATGTGAATGTAAAAATGCAATGCAATGTAATGCAATTTTTCCTTTTTAATTTTTCTGTTTAATTTTTTTAAATTCATGAAAGTAAAGGGTTACTCCTGTGTTATTTATACTTCGTTGTTATTATTATTATTAATAATATTTTTGTTGTTGTTTTTATATGCAATATATTAATAATGTGACTGTAAAAATGCAATGCAGTACAATGCAATTTTTTCTTTTTAATTTGCCTTTTTAATTTTTCTGTTTAATTTTTTTAAATTTATGAAAGTGAAGTGTTACTCCTGTGCTATTCATAGTTCGTTGTTATTATTATTATTATTATTATTATTATTATTATTATTATTATTATTATTGTTATTTTAATATAATTATTTTTTTATATATTAATACGCGATCGTAAAAATGCAATGCAATGCAATTGTTCCTTTTTTTTTTCTTTAATTTTGTTATTTTCATGAAAGTAAAATGTTACACCTGTGCTATTCATTGTTCGTTGTTATTATTAATATTATTATTATTGTTATTATTATTATTATATGTATTTATAAAAGGAGAAATAACGATAAAGAAGGGTAGAGGGTGATGAGAACGGTTTAAAATGTTTCATCGATACATTTTAGTAAATTTTTGTTAAGTAAACACATTGATTATTTATCAAGCAATTATTTGACGTATATTTTCACTATGAGTAGAATAAACGATAAGCCGTATTATATTCGTACGTACGACATAACGGGTGTCTCATTTAAAACAAACAAACAAACAAAAAAATAGAAAATATAATGAAAGTTTCTTTTTTTTTTGTTATATTTCTAATTCAAATAATCCTATAAAAAAAAAACACACAAAGATTATTTTTAATAAAAGTTTTAATAAAGTGTCTGGAAAGAAAAAAAAAGTAATATTATTTTTCACGAACAACAACAAATGCTCTCTTTGTTTTTTTTTTTATTTTTTTGTTTTTTTTAATTTAAAATTTGATAATCGGTTGAAACCAATAATTTTGTAATATCTTATTTTTATTTAATTATTTATCTTTTTTTTTTCATAAATATTTCAAGCTCTTCAGTGCATTGATTTCACTGATCATAAAAATACAAATGATCCTACGATTATGCAATTTATCGAACTTTAAACAACCACATATATATAACACATGAATAATAATATATCATATTGGCAAATAAAAAAAAAACAGATGAAAAAAAGCAAATACGGCCTGGCTTGTTAGTATATATACCTACTTCGCGTTGGATTTATTTTGACATTTTTCTATAAAACTTTTGTTATTGAAAAAAAATACATACGTCAAATCTATCAAAACAGAAGAGAGAACGATTGAAAATGCTGCTGCTGTTGTTGCTGTTGCTGCTGCTGTTCTGCTGTTCTGATTGGGCACACTCGAATCGCCACTTGGCGTTTATTATACCACGTATAAAACGCTTTTTACCATGCTCAATCTCTTTCACATTTTTATGTGTATTTTTTTTCCTTTTTTTTTTTTTTTTATTGATTTATTTATTTTTTATTTAGTTTCGTCAAAAATTTACACTTTTTTTATTTTCTTCTTTTTATTTTTCACCCTGTTATCCTTCTTACCCATCCTCCTCCTCCCCTTCCCCTATACATAAACTTATTGACAAATAATTCAATTGTTTATATGTAAAGTAATTTTTGTTGTTAGAGATGAGATGATGAGATAGATAGTTTGAAAAAGATTAGATACATGCATACATACATACATGCTTACATA